GTGCCTACCATTTGCCGTTACCACCTAAATCACACTTGTCATCATATCATAATTAATATGTTTTCAATTATTTATAATCATGGCCATCTAATAGACATTTTAGCAATTAAACATTTAAGCATGTGAACACTTAGCAAATAGACATGCTCTTTTAAAACTGTAAACACATAAGCAATTAAGTAAGTAAACATGCTTCTCAAGTAACAAACACTTTAACACATAAGCACATAAACAATGCAATCCACCTTCCAAACAATCCTACTTAGGCCTCTACCTGTTGTCCTACTGGTTTTCGAACCATTGTTCTGATACCAAATTTGTAACGACCCGAACCTGAGGGTCCGAATCGCTAACCGGGTCCTTACCCGAACCTGAGGTCAATTAAAAATGAAATCGTCATTTCCTATATTAATACATAATATACATGTCATCCCAGGATTTATAAATAATAATAATAATAATAATAAAATGAGATCATAGCTACCAAATATCTCAAACAGTCCACTAACCCATCAAAACCTGTGGAGGAACGTCGTCCGCCACTTCCTTCCTGCGACCTGAAAAATGTTAAAATGATGGGGTGAACTAAACGCTCAGTAGGAAATGTCTAAGACACACCTCCTATGACCCCGTGAATCCACATAGAGAATAGAAAGCAAGAGAACGGGATCATATCTCAGGAATCAAATAAAACCACTGTATCATCAACAAACATGCATATCTCAACCAATTACCAAATGCACCACGTATGCCAATGATGTGCCATGCCATGCAATGTCAATCCCCATTTCCGAAACCATACCATTTCAACTTCCAAACCGTTAGTGTAATCTGACCCAAGGCACCTCCAAGGCGTCACGAAAGGGGGATTGACTAACCATCCACGACCACAAGGCACCTCCAAGGCGTCGCATCCGGCCTGGTTAGCTCAACCACACTAGGGTCTCTCCCTAATCCCCTCTCTAGACCACACTAACACCACGGACCACTAGGCGCCTCCTAGGCGTTTGGGTTTTAACAAACACTTTTCAAAAACTTTTCCCCAAAATAATTTCATTGTTTTTTAAAAAAAATATACTTTTCCCTTTTTTCTTTCCCAATAGATGCATAAATACTTTATGATTCCAAATGCCAAATTCAACAACTATATTCCATGCATTTTACCCATATCATAATCACAACTTGTAAAAGAATATTTTAAACATTTATTTCTACGATTATGACATCAAATTTCCATGGCAATTGAAATACATAAAGTAAACAACTTGTCATTTCTAAGCATACTTCTTCACTACAAGGATGTAACTAAATTTACAAACTCATTTATCACATAACATACATCCACCACTTTACATATAATCAACCACAATCATATAGTCAAAATAATTGAAATTAAACATGTTTATAGTCAATTTAAGAGGAAAAATTCACATAGAACCTAAGAAATTGTGAATTAGAGCACCCCTACTTCAAAAGTAGCCAAAATACATCCCCCGCCGAAAAAGTCAATGCCGGTCAACGCGGTCAATGCTGGTCAATAAAAGTCAACGCTGGTCAACGGCTGCAGAACAGAAAACTATTCCGTGGGAACGTAGCCGTCGAAGAGGAGATTCTACTGTTCCAAAGGCTCAGCTCTGGAATCCGACTCTAAGTGGCCCAAAACCCCCCTCTGAATCCTTAGATCCAAAAATTTCAAAAATTCGTAAAATAATCACCGCTCCTTTATATATATATATATATATATATATATATATATATATATATATATATATTTCTTTCATAAACATTACACACTATTTTTGAAACCAGATCGAACCATAATGCCCATGGAATCAAACCAAACCAAACTGTGAAAAACCGGTTTGGTTCAGTTCGGTTTGTCGGTTTCAGTTGATTTCCTTTTTATTTTATTTTAATTTAGAGGGGACAAAGTTAAAAATAAATAAATAAATAAATAATTCAACTAACATTGATATAACACTCAAAAAGAAGAATTTTAAGAAAAAAAATGGAAAGAAAATTGAGATATATTTGAAAAGGGAAATTTGACTTTCTTTAAAAGAAATTTAAGGATAGAATTTAAAATTTTAGGGTGGGCAGGTGAGAACTTTACTTGATTTAGCTTTAGGGTATGATATACATATATATTAATATATATAACATAACATAGTAACGGTTTGGTCTGGGATGGTCTGGTCTAGCAAAGCTCTAAACCAGGACCGGATTGAAAAATTACGGTTTCATAATTTTGGGCCTAGGACCGGACCAAACTGTAATATAACTAGTCCAAACCGCGATCCGGTCCAGTTTGGTTTTTCGGTTTACTGGATTTTTTGAACACCCCTGGTACCAGACCCTTATTTTTCACAGGAAGATCAAGGGTTCGAACCTTAGTGGAAACATGTGTGTGTGAGTTTGTGTGTAAAAGCCGTAAAAACCTAAACTGAGAAAAAATATTTATATAAATTTTTGAAGACCTAAAATTACTTGAAAAACAAGCTTAATTCGTGCATAATTACAACCGGTTCTGCAAAGGTAATGAATAAATCTTCAAAGTAAATTTCAAAACTCAACCAACGCAATCAGTTGCGTAAGACGTGGTCGTTCCGTTACGGCAGTGCACTTTTATAAAGATACTCTTGAAAGTACCCTAAACTCACCAAAGATAAAAATAATGTGTCCTTACACACTTAATTACCTTGTCCAATATTTGTACTCATGGAACAGGACATGTTTCCAATACTTCTGTGATGACCCTGTGGGCGGGTGTGCCGTGGGCGGGTGCGAGAGACACTGTCAGGCTACCACACTGGCGAGCTACGGGTGCACATTCCCACATCGCCTGGGTAGAGGAAAGGTGAAATGCTTATATGTAAGTGTGTCATCTCCATTTTGTATGAGGTCTTTTGGGGTGAAGCTCAAGAGCAAAACCGTGCGGGCTCAGGCCCAAAGTGGATAATATCATACCATGTGCTAGAGTGGGTCGTTACAAATGGTATTAGAGCCTGACCTAGCCGGAAGTGTGTCGACAAGGGCGTCGGGCCTCCAAGGGGGGTGGATTGTGATGATCCTGTAGGCGGGTGTGTCGTAGGCGTGCACAGTCCCACATCGCCTGGGTAGAGGAAAGGTGAAGTGCTTATATGTAAGTGTGTCATCTACAATTGGTATGAGACCTTTTGGGGTGAAGTTCAAGAGCAAACCGTGTGGGCTCAGGCCCAAAGTATACAATATCATACTATGTGGTGGAGTGGATCGTTACAACTTCAATTCCGCTTTTACCGATGACTCAAAATTTAAACTAAAATTACAACTCATCAAATTTGTTTTGACAACAAATATTGGCAACTAAAATTACAACTCATCAAATTTGTTTTGACAACAAATATTGGCAATTATAAAATTATATCTCATAGATCTTTCACCTATCAACAATACAAACAATGATAATATAACAAAAACAACAACAAACGATGGCCTACTATTTATTAGGGCTAATGAGGCAGAACACCTTATTATAGTTTACAACGGTGGTGTCTTTCACCCATCAAGGGAGAGAAAACAGAACAAAAAAAGCAAAAAGAAATAGAAAGAAAGAGAACAATGGCACATATCCTTTCCCTCAAAACAACGTGTACTAGCATTTATTTTTGAACAATCAGACACATCCATTTAGGAACTAATGATGATCAAGTTGATGGCAACATCCAAAAGTTGAGGGCTATATTGCAACTGCTGTCGCTATGGAAACAATAGCAAGCCCGTGACAATGGCTAGCAATTATCGGATATCCTTTGCCGCGTCAAGATATATCCTTTGCCGCGCCAGTGAAGGCGAAATTGAGAGCCAAGACAAATGCAGTAAAGTAAAGGAGGAAGGTTTGTCCTTAAAGATGATGGTTGGTACTGGGTTGCCATTTATTTTCTCATATGGCAGTCGTGGAAGAGCAAAGACAGTCACAAAGGCAACCCCAAAAATCACTTCCTCTAATGAATTTATATGCATCGTCTTAATAATGCCCAACTTCTTTCATTACAATGTGTGGTAAACTCTTGGGACTGTTCATGGAAGGGTGTGTGTTAACATTGCCTTGAATATTATGGTCAACAAATTTGAAGTTCTAGGATGTTCAATTATTGCTACCTTTGAATTTTTTTACAAAATGTGTGGTGCTAGTTAGTAGGACCAATGTATACGGACCAATCTTGGCCACATGTTACCTAACTAGTTCTGATTTTTCATATATGTTTGTTACCTTTCAACTGAAATTTCCTAGAAATTTAACCGAAGAAGTAAGAATAATTTACCTTTGAACTTCCTCGTTATTCGATGAATTTTTTTATTTTTTTTTATTTTTTTGCAATTATTCATTACTTGCCATCAATATTGTGAAAATTTACATAACGCATATTACAAGACATTTTCTTAATTAAATATTCAGGGGTCAAGATCTAAGCGCTAAGATTAATGAACGATTCTAATTTTAATCTTTTAATTTATTTAGGTTTAAGAGTTTTCTAACTAAAAAAATTATTAGTCACCCAAGATTGTAATCTAGTGCGGTGATGTAGTTAGAAAATTTCATGAGGGCAGCCTTTAACAACAAAATGTCATTTAAATCACAGAGTGAGATGTGTGAAGTGTGATTGCTAACTATAAACGATGAGGCAGTAGTGAGATTCTTTTAGTAATTTTAGTGGGGGCAATATTAATATTCAATAGTTGGCAATGAATAGGACCGTGCATGATTTATAGTGATACATCTTCTTATAGAACTCTATAAAGTAGAAGGTTAAGAGTTTAAGTTCACGTGAGAGTAAAGCGTGTGTAAGAAGTTTAATTTTTTTTTTTAAATAAATAAAGTAGAATGTTGATAATTCAAGTTTTTAGTTTCTTTTCATGTAAAAAAATTAAATAAATAAATAATTGCATAAAACAGTAAAAATCTTTTCTTTTCCGAAAAGTTTAAACAAATACACATCACAATATATTCTCATCCGCTACCAGTACTCGATGATTTTTTTCATTTTGGAAGGAAAAAAAGAGCTTACACGAACTAAATTAGAATTTATTAGTATTATTTTGTAAATTGATATGATTGTGGTCTGATCTCAAGTCATCACGGCGTCAATGCATTAACAAGTCAAGTCACCACGCGTGGTGACTTTATGTATTCAAGTCATGACTTGTTCCAAGTCTAAATTTTATAATCAAACGATAAGAAATTAGAGACAGCCGTATGTCCTTTGAGACCACCACCGAAACTGCATCGTATAGTCCTTATTCAGCCCTATCTACTCTTCTCCTTATGAATTGGAAATGACTTTCTAGCAGCCTCGGACTTCAGCCGAAGTCCGATGATGATAATGTGCGCATTTACACAGAAGTTTGAGAACCAGAGTTGCAGAGGCATTTACACAGAAGTTCGAGAACCAGAGTTGCAGATCTTGCTTCCTGATGATTACATATACAGAATAATGAGGTAACAATTGTAAGGATTGGGTATATAATGCAGATATATTTCTCTTTGAATTCGTGGTCAGTCATTCATCACACAAAGGAATGAGACATTATATGTTAGAGATAAGAACTATTTTTTATAATTATTTAAAGTTTTTTTTTTTTTTTTGAATACTTTAGAAAATAAACCAAGCATGTCCTAACTTTTGCATTTTTTTTTTTTTTTTAATCTTTACTTTATATTATTAACTAAATCAGCATGTTATATTGGTATAATGGAGGTGTATCACGCTCCAAATATTAAGGACATATATACCCAAAATATATTAATGCACTTACACACAACTTGAACCAAAATATATGAAATTTCATATTTGAATTATAATATCATTCAATCTGTCATACAATTTTCTAATTTTTTTATTTTTTATTTTCCTTTTATAGTGTTTATAATGGAAAATACTTGATCAGTCATCCAAATTAGCCAGTGACTCCCTGAACAATTATATATATATATATATATATGTGTGTGTGTGTGTGTGTGTGTGTGTGTGTGTGTGTGTGTGTGAATGAGAGAATTTATAAGGCCATTGGCCCAAGACAGCCCAACAACCAGGTTCTCCAAAGAACAGAATACAGCCCAAGAGAAATTAGCAAATTACAGCCCAAGAGAAATGTGCCCCAAAAGACTCTTTAACAATTTGGACCGAAACCACTACACCAAACCCAGAATTAATTAGCCCGCTTACCCCCAAAAAAAATTTTAGTCAGTGGTTACTTGACTGGACTTGTATTATGAAAAAGGAGTCCAATTTGGGTGGACTAACCCAAACACAACTCGAGTTCAGCTCGATACAGGCTCAAGCTACCCAATTTACAATTAGAATTGAGTTTAGGTCAAAAAATCTCTAACTCGAGTCCACCCAAACACAACTCGAGTTCATCCCAATTTTTTTATAGGTTTGGGCTACCTAATTTGGAATTAGAGTTAGACTTAGGTTGAAAAATATTAACTCGAATTTAATTAGCGCTGAACTTGAGTCGAAGTGTTAGCAATCCATGCCCAACCCTAACCCAAATTCTAATTTTATTTTATTTTAATTTTAAATATCCTATAAATATAATTATTTCAATTATTAGTATTATTTTTTATGATTGACAAGAAACATATGCACTCCACCCACACATTCACTTTGTCCTAAGGGGACTCAAACTCTCACTATTGACTCTGGAAGGTAGAGAAGCGATATTGAATCACAGGACCCTTGATAATTATTTCAATTATGAAAAAATTAGAATTGTTCATCTTTTGTGTTTAGAGTAATTTTGTCAGGTGATAAATGATAAATAATGTGCATTCTAATAAAAATAAATAAAATAATCTACATGTTGCATAAACTTGGTTTCGCGTGTACAAGAGGTTTATATGATAAGTTATTGTGACAACCCCAATTTTAACCCAAAATCTCTAAGACAATCACAGATCGAGAAAGCTTGATAAAATGACGTGGCCTAACGAGGTTCATGTATGGAGATGTTTCTTTATTTACCTCACAAATGAGAAAATTTGTGGTATTACCTTCAATATGGTGAATCAATTATCTATTTAGAAAAACATATAAGGAAGAAAAAATTAAAATATTAACAAAATAATTCTTTTTTTTAATTACGGTTGTCTGTGGGTCGAAATTTTTTAATTTACATTTAATTAGGGTTGTCTTGATTTAAGTTCATTTAAAAAAAAAATTATGATTATTATTTTCTTGTCAACTTTCTTTGTTTAAAAATCTTAATTTATTGTATATTAGTTCCCTAAGAATTAGTTCATAAGTGTTTAGATGTTTAGGACTAACTTAATTCAAAATTAACTCGAGATCAACTTAATTTTTAGGTTAATTTATCCAACCTATCTTAACTGGAAAATAATTTTTTGTTTTATTTTATTCTATTTTATTAGTACCTACTATTGATTCTTTCTTTATTTCCGTCCTCTACCATTTAAGTCACCGGCCTTTCTGTGCAACAGTCCACCAGTCACTCAACTTGTTTAGAAGTTGGGTGTAAAAAGGAATTTTTTCTAGATACTTTGAATTTTCTTCACAAATTTGCTGACTGTACCAGAAGAAAGAAGAATAACACATATGCATATCTAAAGGTTGGATAAAGTCGTGGGGGGCCTGTTTTACGAAAAAACAAACAAACAAAGTTGTTATTTTTTACATTAGAATATTAAAAACATATGGAGTAACTAGTATTTAAATACATTTTCAAATATATATATTCCTTTCATATACATATTTTTTTTCAACAAAATTTAACCTCTCTTGATTCAGAAATTGCCAAATTTGTGCTTTGATAAAGAGCTCTTTGAAGCTAAAATTTGAGCTATCATGTTCTCCTATTGGGGTCAACTCAAATAATTTTTTTGATAATTATCCAGAGATGTGAAATAGTAAAATCGAACTTAATTTTGGCATTCCTGTAATAGTCTTACTTGTCCCTGGACATAAGAGGATCGAGTCTACACTCTCTTTAATTTGTAAGTCAATTAATTTCGATTTTGTTTAAACATGAATTAATCAATCATTAATTTTCTTTGATCACTTTAATTTTTGTTTTTTATTTTATTTTTAATAAATGCAGATGTAGTACATCATTAATTACAATATCAAACTAAGCTATATAGTATCACTTCTAGTAAGCTAGATAGTATCACTTCTAGAAAGTATTGGTTAATTTGGTTGACAGAGAGATGCCATGACCTTGTAAAAAAGGGTTGTAGTAGTTGAGTCAAAGTTGTGTTTGACAAAAATGAGTGTCACTTCTAGATTAGCTCTTACTATATGTTCACACAATTAGTTTCTCATCTTCCGAGGTTTTATTTGCTCATCTCATTCTCATCTTTCACGGTATGGCCGGAAACTGGTACCGATCATCACCTGTTCTTGTTTCAATCATTTCTGTGTTCCAATCTTTCTTTTCCAAATCAGAACCACAAGTACCACAAGAATTACCAGATATTCACGACCAAAAAGTACTGGATTTGGGCGATGTCTCTCGTTCAAGTCTGTTATGCCCCAGCTGCGCCAGGGAAAAGAATAGTATAAACTGTCAGCCACCATCATCACCTCCACCACCATCACCACTCATTTCTGACACCTCAGCTGGCCATGAAACCTCAGCATCACCTTCGCCAGCTGCTCAATCAGGCAAGTCCCAGAAAATGAATCCCATTGTCAAAGTTTTACGAGATCAAGAACTCGGAAAAACACTACTTACTTATGTTATACCAATATCCACTGCAGTTTTGACAGTGAACTGCATCAAACACGCCTCTCTTCCATTACCCTCCATCGTAGTCTCACTTTGCATTGGTCTCCCAGCTCTGTGGATCGGAATTCTGTTTCGCGCCATCTTACCTGACACCATCTCAAATGGTATAGAGCAGTTTGGAGCTTGTTCTATATTTTTCGCCTTCTTTTCTGTGGTTAGCTCACTGCTTCCACCAGACCTTGTTTGGATCCCCTGGACATGCTTTTCTGTCACTCTCTTACTTTCTATACTTAGCTGTCTTCCGGGAGCTTGGTTTCAGTTAATTGAGAACCCTGATGATGCTCCTTGATTTTGGTTGCAGAAGATTCACCAGTAAGTTTAATTAATTAGATATATATTAATTACATGTAAGCTTTGATCTTGACATGGTGTCTGAAATAGCCAAGTGCTCTATTAATTACTGTTTACAAGCATATATGTATGTATCATGATTGTTAAATTCTGATGAGTTTAAATGAATTTGGTTTTGATCTCGACAAGTAATTCTGTCAATTAAACTTTTTTGGTTCCATAGAAAACTTGTTTGTGCATTCATTTCACTCAATACTACTTACCCAATTTACCTAAAAAAACACGAGAAATTCTATCAATAGGGTAGTCAAGTCCCTTAATAACTACTATTTCATTTAGATTAGTCAAGCCCTTAACAACTAACTTAGATCATTCAATTCTTAATCTTAACTAGTGCGAGTTGGAGATTGTTTTCTTTCCTTTAATTTATTTATTTGGTTGTTCATGGTTAAGGTGGTGGTTCATTTTGATTAGTGAGGAATAAGGCAATTTTTTACTTTGAAAACACTGGTTCAAGCCATACACTGGTTCAATCTCTATCTTTTATAAAATTTAGCAAGTTTTATTTTTTATTTTTTATTTTTTTTTTTAAAAAAAAAAAGAAAAAAAAACAATTATCTACACAAACTTAATCTTCATTTCTGTTTTCCCACATCTTAGGGAGAGTTAAAATACAATTTTTTTTCTTATATAAATCAAATATTTTATGTACTCTTTTTGCTATATATAAAAGAATATAATCCTTGAAAATTGAAAGAAATGTAGTCATACTCTTAACGCGAAATTGTGATTCAAGAACCCGAGTTCTTGTTGTAACACAAATTGTTAATCCAATCCCTACATATGATCTTGAAAACCTCCCCCATCCAACCAATGTAAGATTTTATTTCAACCACCTTGGGGTGTGTGGAGCGTGTGTGTTTAATATTATTCCTTGGAGTCTTCATTTTGAGGCAAATAAATAAATATTAAGAAGATACATATTGGTTGATCTGCACAGTGTAAATGAATGCTTTGAATGTAACTTGCCTGGAAATAAAGGAATATTGTTTTTGATTTGGTGGAATTAAACTTAAATTGGTTGAATCTTCCATTTTGATGTCAGATAAAATTGACATAATTACGCTTTATTCTTGATTTATTTATCAGTTATTATAATTTGATGGTTATTTAATTTGTCTTCTTTCCATCTTCAAACTGCATTTGCTTTATTGATCACTCTGTGGTAACTAAATTTGTAAAACAATTTAAACATGATGATATGATCATTATAGATTAGTTGCATCAAAATATTCTATCATCTAGAAGTATATTATAAGGATTATTACTTATGGATATTGATGATAAATAAAAATATGAATTTCAGCTTGTTCTATATTTGAACTATATTGCAGGCCTCGATAGTCCAGTGGATTTTGGGAGTGTCAGACTCTTTGCACCTACTAATCTAACTTCTAACCCTTCTTGTCATGTAAAAAATAAATAAATAAAAATAAAAAAATATTTGAACTATATATTTTAAGCCATATATCCTTTGCAGAGGTGCTCAAGAATCTTTAGACCACATTTTCTTCATCTGCGTGCTTCTCTCAAGATGTCTAGCAAATTAATCAAGGCTTTTTCGTTTCTGTTGCAGCCCTTGTCTACCAGCGCGCTGTGGAAAGAAAGGAACAATCGTATCTACTCGAACAGATACATGGATGCTTTGAGTCTTCTGAAAATGGTTTATGTTGGCATTAGCCTGAAATTAACTTCAAATTCTAAGTCAGGAGACCCCGTCTTATTTCCTTATTACAGCGTTCTTGGGACATACCTGTTTTGTTTCTATCCCTCTGTACCGCTCTAGCTAGTTCCTTTGTTGTGTAAGTAGGAGGGTATGCCCTCCTCTCTATTGCATCTCTTAAAACAAAACTTGCTTACCCAAAAATATAATGAACTTGAAAAAATAAATTTTAATTTTATATACAAAATTACATTCAATGTGGCATTGTTTTGTTTGGAGATATTATTGATGTTTTACATATTAGTTTACTACGGCATTTTAGTAATTTTACACTTTACATTAATGGATGGTTATTTGAAAGTAGGGGGACAAACTCTATTTTAAATGTGTTAGATGGACTTATTTGCACAAATTTAAAATTTCGATCGATCGAACTGCTGCGAGAAATTCGAAAAGTTACAAATCATCTAAAATAAGTTTTTTTTTTTTTGGGGTCTCCATTATAATCTTAAGGGCTTCACTTTCTCCCTCTCTCTCTTAAATTGAAATTACAATGTAATCCTCACACCACCCAAGCTTTATTTTTTTACAATTTTAACTTTATAATTGCCCTTTTCTGAATTAGATTCTTGGTGCCAAAAGCTAGGGCCTTGCTTGGATTACATTTATAAAAACAGTTTTCAGAGAATCAGAACAGAAAACAATTTTCAGTTTTTTCATATTTCAAACCTATTTAGTTAAAAAAATTTACAAAACAGCTTCCGGAGAACAAAAACCCATAAAACTGCTTGGTTGTATTTATTGAAAATAGTTTTCTAAATTAAGTAAATAAATAAAATATTGTACCTCACTATTTTATTTCTTTAATTTATGATATTAACTATTAATGTAATATATATATATATATATATATATATATATATATATTAAAATAAGTGTTGGAAGTGCATTCATTTTAGTTAGTATTCTTAACTTTATAAAAGTTGCACAAGTATAGTATATCAATTAAGTTTAATTAAAACTTGCCTAAATTTAAATATAATAAAAGAGTTACATGAATTACTTCAAGTGTCATATACATTTTTAGTTGTACAAACATTAAGTTTGGTAATGGATAACCAAAACAAAAATTAGAGAATTACAGAAATAGCTAATCAAGACAAAATATTGTAGAATTATAAAAGTAACTTCATCTAGCATTGCCTCTGAATGATGCCCACATTTGATTCGTCAGATGAGTTCTAAAGGCTCCCATTTGTGTTGCACCATCATCAGATAAATTAAGTCCATTCAGTATACCAGCACTACTACTGGTACCATTCTCCCCATCAACGACATTGACATCTTCTTCCCCATACTCCATAAAAAACGATCATCTAATATATTTTGACGAATGAAATTATGACTCGTGCAACAAGCAATTATTATGAGTCGTTGTCTAACCAACTTATAACAAGGCATAAACTTTAAAATGGAAAAACAAGCCTATAGTACTCTAAAACAACATTCAATGACATTGCAAAATGATGAATGCCGATAGTTAGACAATTCCTTTGCACCACGCGGTTGTCGATTGTTACCCGTATAATCATGTAGATGATATATTTGACCACGATATGGAGGTAGAAATCCTTTTATGCATGGGTAACCAGAATCAACTACATAATATTTTCCTGCAAAATATTATTTAAATTTTATTAGGGTTAGTAGTATACTATTATTAATATTAAAAAGACAAAAGTAATACCATCAGCTGATATCGGGAATCATGCAGCAGCTCTAGTAATTGCATCAATAAAAACTCTCGAGTCATTTGTCGTACCCTCCCAACTCCTATAAACGAAAGTATATAGCATATCAAATGTGCAAGCACACATAACATTTTGTGTCACTATAGACTTTCTTCCTCTCTAAGGAGTTTGTTTGGTGGCAGGTGCAAAATCACTTATATGTGTTTCATTAATTGCTCTATTACAATTCTTAAACCAAGGATAGTATTTAGGATTATGAAATATATGAGAAGGCACATCACTACCCTGTGAAGGACATATGAGAAATTTCCCAACGTGATATATTGTTCTCTATACGAGCTTAAAATGTCTAAAAACTATTTCGCAGAATGTTGAAATCGTTCAGCTACCACTGCATGATGAATATTATGTCCTATAATGAATAAAAACATTACCACCGACTCCTCAATTGAAATTGTATGCGTCTTCCAACAATTCACGTTCTCTCAATATTTGACATAATTTCATAAAGATCTATCCATTCGTAACATATCAAAACATCGATCGGAATGGTCATTTAACAATTCATAAACATACTCATGACCTGTTAACTAATGAGCGCTGAAAAGTGCGCATTTAAACCATTTAAACTTGAGTATTTTAGGGCCTTTATCTATCTTATTTTCCCGTTTTAGACTAATTTTGTGTTATTTCCTTTTTCAGGTCAATAATGTTAAAACGGGCTAAAAATGGTTTCTTAAGGCCCTTTTGGAGTCAAACTAAGTCTTAGTGAGAATCTAGAGCAAAAGGAGGCTGATCTGGAGCAAAAAGGAGGCTGATGCTGAAAACTGCCAAGTGAGATCTATCGCAGAAAAGTGAGATCGATCGAACTGTTCGCGAAAGTTATTAAAAAGCAAATCTAAAGCTCATTTCGACCCAACTCGGGTTGTGCTTGAAAGGGAAGATTCTAGGGCCGAGTTCTCACATTTTTGGGCTCTCAAAGCCTTGTATATAAGAGGGATTGAACCATTCTTATAGGGAGATTCATTATTTTTTTCATTGTAATTTCTATATTGTTGGAGTTTCTCTCTCTAGAAAGTTAGACATTAAGGTTAGAAGAAGAGAGGAAAATGGAGGCACATCTCAAGAACACATCTCTAGATCCATTCTCTCTCTCTCTCTCTCTAGAGCTTCAAAGAAGAAGAGGAAGAAGAAGATGGAGCCATGTTTGGAGCTTACACTTGAAGGTTTCATGATCACATCCACCTCCTCCATGATTGGCTAGATCTACACTTCGGGCTTGGATGAGCCCTAAGTCTTGTGTAATCTAAACCCTTGTATTTCTATTTTTGGGATTTATATATATATTGTTGTGATTAGTGCTTAGCCTTGTGATTGTTGATTTAAATTCGTCCTTATGATTCTCTATTTTAATTACATGTTGTCCTATGTGTGATTATTTGGGAATTGATCTCTACACTAGATTCTCTATATTGGTTGCATGGCTATGTGTGATTAACTAAGGATTTAGTGATGGCTAAGCATGGGTTTTCATTGAATGGGTTTGTCAATTAATTTGATGGATTATTCTTATACTTGATAGGTTGTTCTACAATTTAATTCATGCTTGTAGTTAGGTAAACAATCTATACTTGATTTGATATTCCATGGCTTATTATTGCAAATTCCATGATTCTCTAGATTGATGTGTGCTCTCATTTGACCCATTTGTTAATTAATTGATGGATTATGCTTTTGTCTTGGTGGGTTGTTCTACACTTAGTTTACTTGTTGGTTAGATAGACAATTCACTCTTGCATTAGATAGTTCACACTTTTACATGCAAATTGTGTTTATGTTTGTGGCCACATCTAGATTGCAAGAATGTATTCCCCATTAATAGAAAGCAAGTGGTTAATTACATAAGCTTAATGGTGATTCCAACACCCTAAGACCTTTCTTCATATCTCTTAAATCTCTATCTCTCACTAGTTTATTTTAAGTGCATATTAATTTCTTTGCATCTTAGTGTAATCAAACAAATAACCCTCCTTTGCAATCTCTTAATACGCTAGAGTCAAAGTAAAATTCCAACATGTATAATCCCTACGGACGATCCCTACTCACTATACTTCATTAGTTGTAGTAATGGTTTTTATAAATGTAAATTTGACTAGAAAATCTTCCAAAACCACATTCATATTTTGACCTTGCGAAGCGACCTCTCGCATTAAAAAGTCTGTTTTCTAAACATTTGGAAAGGGGCTCGTCAAATTTTGGCGTTGTTGCTGAGGATTAACAGTTTTGTTGGAATTAAACTAGACAATAGTGTTCATTTGATTGATTCTATTTTTATTTTATTTTCCATTGTATATTCTTTTCTCTTGTTTTCATTATTATTTGTCAATTAGGTACTTGACTACAAGAAAGACAAACTTTAGAACTTGAAGCAATCATTGGAGCTTAAGGTTAATATTAAAATTTGAAGTTACTTAAGGACCTTTATGTGCAATTCTTGGAACTTTTGTAGTTTAATTGTTTCACTTCTTTGCATGCTTGTGATAGCACTTGTTGAGGCTAATTTTATTGCTTAAATTTTTGTCCAAGTATCGGCTCGTGTGGAGGCCATTATTTGTTGCATTTGGATTTTGAATGTGGATGGAGCCGTTGTTTGATCCAAGTTTAGGGAAAAATTACTTCCTCTTGCCTTATGTCCCTCCACCATATTTTGATCCTTATGAGGCTAAGTCCAATTCATTTGAACATGCATCATCTTATTATGGACTTGACTATTCTCATTATCCTCCTTGTGACTACTACCCTTCCCCACCATTTTATGATGAACCAAATCCACCACCTTCTAGGTACTCACCCGGATTTGAAGAAAAAGTGTTAGCTTTACTTGATGTGCATATTTCACAAACTCCATTTATTAATTCACATTCTCAAATTTTAGCCAAGCTTGAAGCTCAAGTTGAGTAAATTACAAGTACCCTTTTTCGTCAAGAGGAGGAGGAAGAGGCAAATGAAAAAATGGCAAGAACTTCAATTTATATAAATGAGGATGAGGAGAGTGAGGAAAAAGTAGCAAGTGAGTAATTTAAGGAGTTGATGAGTCCACCAATGGCTAATCCAATAGAGCACAACATGATTAATGAGGACTTTCCTTGTTTTGATCATGATTTTATCTTGGCCGTTGATACTTTAGAGAGTGAGAAGATGTTGACCACTATAGAGGTAGAAGAAGAGGATGAAGAACTTGTTGAAGAGGGCCTTTCTTTTATTATCTCTAAGGAACCTCTTGAGGACTGCCTTTTGCAAATGTATGAAAGATGTGGTTTTCACATAGAAAGCTCTATAAATGAAGTCAACTCTTTAATGGACTCCGTGGCTATTTTAGAGGGTGAAGAGATGGTTATTTTCGAGGAAGAGAAAAAGGATGAAGAGAAGGTGTTTCTTGATATTCCAAGTGAATCTTTAAAAGACAATGTCTCACCAATTATCAAAGTGAATAATCATTTGAATGT